GTTTTTACCTGATATCTCGAAAAGTTTTGAGAATTTGTAATACTTCAAAATAGCAAAGTTGTTCAAAATGACAAGCTTAATCTATTTGAGTCGTCAAAATACGTCTGGCATCGTCACTTCCGGCCAAACTGGAAGTAGTCAAAAACGCGTATTTTTGCCGTTCTTGTCAAGTTTTTTGAGTAACATATCTCTCTGGGAGCATAAAAATTAATGTTCTGTCCATCGTCCTCACTTCCGGTTAAACCGAAAATAGCAAAAATTGCTTTTTTGCATTAATTAACATAGCTTTAGAGGATTTTAACCATTTTTTGCGTTATTTCTCATTTTTGTTGAAAATGAAAGCTACTTCCGGTCAAACAGGACGGAAGACCTACTCGTTGCTTTGCAACTAGCTTTGCTCTAGTTAAGGTCTTCCGTCTTCACGGAAGACCTTATAGTGATTCTATTGTTTCTTATTATTATTATTATTATTCTTTTTTTTAGACAAAATTTTGTGCAGGCGATTTCTCGTAAACTATTCGGTGGATTTCAATGAAAATTTCAGGAATTATAGGTCATTATATGAATTTTATATAAAATTCCGTTTGTTGGAAAATTCGCTACCAGTGCCAAGTTATGGGCAATTTCCTGATTTTAAAATGCAATTTTGTCTTCGAGTGTTCTCGAAAACGGCTCAAGATATTAACTGGAGACTTGTTAGAGATGATAGACCATGTGTTATAGATGTGCAATTTTGACTTCGTTTGCGTCGTAAGTACTTCCGGTCGCTACAGGAAGTGAATTCAAAATGTACACTTTTTCAACTTTTTTTGTTTTTCAATATTTTTCTTTGATATAATTAATGCTAATTAAGACCCTACTGGAAAGGCCTAATATATAATTTATCTAAGAATTGATCAATCCACACACTAGATATTCGCATTTAAAAATCTGAAGCGTGTCCAAGATGGCGGCGGTCTCGGTACACTCCGCCATTAAGCAAGTCGGGTTCTAGAAGGTCAGCTGAGCGTTTAGATGAACGAAACTTCTACCAAAAAGATTTATGAAATGTAAAGGATTCTTTTGATTGCTACATCGCAATTACGTTGCATTGAGTATACTTTAAACATGAGGTTTCCTCAAACTTCTATTGAAATCGCTTTTGTCTGCATCTCAAAGTAGAATACAACATGACTACAAGTGGAAACACGATGACTTCAGTCTTTTATTTTGCACCAGGGAAAACTTATCCTAAACCATTGTTATAATACTTTTCAAGAAACTTGCCTGACTTAATATTCACTATGTTTCTGAAGTATGACTTGACTTCTGTTTATTTTTCTTTACGCAGGCTTGTGACATATTAAATGAATAGAAAAGACAAAAATAAGAAAAACATTTTTAAAAGATTGTTTATTAAAGGTTATATGAATATTCTTGTAATAAATGCAAGTTATTGACATAAATAGTATCAGATTCCTTGACCGTCGGAGGACGAGTGATTTTTTTTTCAGTGAAACATTCCAGTCTTTTCAGGAACGTGTAACTCATCTCCACTTTGGGGGTAAACAGGATACAAAATTCGTGGAAAATCTTACCGAATTCACCGCTTTATTGTTACTTGGCCGTATACGGAATTATATTTATATAATGTGATAACTATTCTCGTACTTTCTAACGCTCGAAATTCTGGTTATAAGAACATACATTTCTAATTTTCATTGAAGCTGTCACATCCATTAAATAAATCAAACATTTCAAAGGAATAGCGTTAAGAACTTCTTGTGACGTTTGGCACGAAATAATGCATCATGACCCTACTTTGTAGTAGACAAATCGCGACAATAGTGCAGAAATATATAACATTGGCATGCCTGTATATGGAGTTGCATGGGATAAAAAGTTGAAAGCATATCGAAAAAAGGAAAGAAAACTGTATCATCTGTTCATCATTAATACATTATATATCCTAAAAATTACTGTTAAAATTCAAGTTACAAATTCCGATGTGATCATCTTGACAAAAGTTTGGCAAGCTGGCTGTCATTTAACAATTCAAACTGAATTTTTAAAAAAAATGTTATGTATGTTGGAATAAAAAAAGCAATCTCGCGATATTCGAATGTTAAATTTGAAGCGGGTTCCCAAAGGTGTAATGGGTACCGCAATGGATTTTCACGCTGGCGACCCGGGTTCGATCCCCCGTGATTCCGATTTTAAAAATCACTTTTTCAGTTTGATTTTACGTTGTTTTTTTCTGAATCGAGTATAGACAAGATAGCATGGTCAAAATAGCAAGATCTCACGCGCATGCACGTGCGCTTCGCTCTGATTGGCTGAAACTAAAGTCTCAATATCTTTCTTGTTTCTTGTCATAATCTTTTGAAATTTTGAACATAGTCCTACATTATGAAGATCTACAGCATGATATAAAAGAATTTTCATGAAAGCATGCGCATGCAATACTGTAATGTGATTGGCTGAAACTTTAAATGGCTATATTTCCTTTGTTTTTTGACAAAATGCTTTGAAATTTAAAACATAGTCATGCATTAGGATATCTTACAATATGATATATCTGATTGGCTGAAATTTGAAATGGCTATAACTCCCTTGTTTTTCAACCAAACAGGATGGGATTTGGAGCATAGATATATATAATGGACTTCTACAAGAAAGTATGGTCACCATGCACATGCATACATGTGCGTGTACGTGCGCTGCAATCTGATTGGATGAAGCTTTAAAAGATATAACTCCCTTGGTTTTCAACCAAACGTGGTGAGTTTTAGAATATATATAGATGTAATGGACTTCTACAAGAAGGTATGGTCACCTTGCTCATGTATGCACGTGCGTGCACGTGAAATGGGTAAAATAAAAAAAAACTTGAATGAGCATTTTTTTTTATACTTTTGGATTAAATACTTTAATATTTAGCATATTAAAATATATAGATTGTGTAGACAATATGATATGGTCATCACGCACATCATTCACATGCGCAAGTGTGCAATGATAAAATTTGAATGAACATAGTACACTTTCGGGTGAACGTTGTTAAAGTCTCAAATGGATAGAGTTTGTCTTATTTAATTACGCTTACAGGGAATATGACTATAAAAGGGAGTTGGGGAGCGTTTGGGGAACATCTGTAACGGTCCCCGTTACAATTAGCACAAGTTCTTTTTAATATGCTAAACACGAGATGAGTCCATCCTTAAGTTATGTGTTGTTCTACACACATTGTTCACAATACGTATGGTTATGTTTTATGCCTGTGCAATTCAGCGATGTTAACGACTTAGTCCCAATACTAAAGGAATCGATTAGGTCTAGACTTACGCCACTTCGTGAAACGCAAATTGTCCTCACCTACGTAAAATTCTGGCGTAAGGCCAGTACGTACATCTAAGTTAAGGCTTACATTTTCGAATTTTGATGAAATCGTTCTCTGATGAATGTAATGTCAGGGTAAACCAGGAAATTAAAATAATTTCAGGTGTGTCTTGAACATAATCTTGTATGATTGTGCTTTTGTATGTATGCGAACATGAGTGAAAAAAGGTGTTTAAATGGTGAATGCAAGTTTTTTGTATCAATGAAAACATTTCACTCTATTTCATTTCATCGATTGATTTTTTTTAACATATATAGGACTGAGTAAAACGAATAATAAGTTACCAGTGAAAAACTATTTTAATAAATAAATTGTTTAATTGCACTGTAATGAATAGTAAAGTAAGCCATTTTTTCTTTATTTGATATAATCTAAATAAATATTTCAACCTAAAATTTTAGGGTTTTTTTGTATTTTTACGATGCATTATGCAATCTAAAAATCAATCATCAAAACCGTTCGACCACATTAAAGGTTATTCATGTTGAAACAACTTTAAATTGCATATTTTTCATGAATATTTTGCATTTTGTTTATATGAAATTATTGACCATTTTGTCCAATGCATGAAATTGTGAATTTTTTTTATTAAATTTCAGTTAAAAATCACATAGTATAATTTGATTCAGAATGATTTTTTTACAAGATAACAATAATTATTTAGATTTTTTTCATCTTAAATGACTACAAATTGATTATCTTTACGATAAACTGAGCTGCAATGAAAAATGTAGAAATTTTTTTTATATCAACTCAATTCCATAAGTATAAATATATAGTATGAGACATCTTTTAATTATGACTTACTTTATTTGTATTAAAGTATATATTCTTATCGTTCTTAGAATTTCTTTTGTTATGTCAGGGACTACGTACCTACGTTTTTATGTGCTTTATGTATTAAATACATGAACACAGGAAGTTCTTCTTACAATACTAACTACAATAATAAACTTTCCAATTTTTTAACAAGCAACTTAGCTTTAAGTGGGGGCAAATACATTTTGTTTCTACATATACTGTACCAGAATATATTGTGAAGAATCATGAAGTGAACCGTTTATATCTTCATTTAACTGAGAGAAAAACTTATCTTAGCCGTACAACTACAATATTATGCATTGAGAAGTAATAATTCCTTGAAGACCCCCAAGCCACATAAGCCTGTATTTCAGTTGTATGATCCCTGTCAGTTTTAACTGACTTTAAAAGATAACATTGCAAGCCCAGTAACATGAACTTATTTACCGGCACATTTAAGTCTGTAAAAAGGAGGGGCTTAATTCATACGGGAAATATTAACTTTAACATCACACAAATTTAGCAGTTCTTTAAAATGCCACAGAATGAAATGATTTGTAATTTTGAACTGTACCTGAGAATTAAACCAAATTGAAGATTGCTGTAACATGCTGTTTTGTAGTTAAGTCAATCCCACCTAGCAATGTATAGACTTGCCAGTGTGATTTCATTTCGTAAAGTTTGACGCAATTTGTTTCCAGTGAGATATAATAGCAGATTTAGGAAGAAAACAACCTTCATAAAGCATTACATAATAGATATTGTTAGGATTTACAAATTCAATATGCATTCCTATAATTTAATTGAAGTAGCATCTTACCTTTTAAAACTTGTACACATTTACCACCAATACAAATGCTATCCTCAGTACAGACGTTGTTTAAGCAATTGCCCGCCAAGTGCTGAAGTGAAATCAACCCATAGTTGTGATTCGATTCGTTTAATATGTAATTAAATGCATTTCAGTGAAAATGATTCAATTTGTTTTCTTACCACTGGAAAATTTTCCCGTTCGGCATGAAAGGTCATGCCGTTAGTCATTAGACTGATGTCATGCTTGACGATAAACTTTGAGTTTAGCCGACATATCTTTTCTTCTTGTATCCAATCCACTGAGAGACACAATTTAAACTTAAAACAAATCATCATGCACATTGCAATGTCGGCATTTCTCAAAAGGTTAAAACCTGGATGTGAGGAATTTTTATAATTGCTAATGAGCAAAGATTTGGGGTCGAATGGAGCGGAGCACTGAGAGTAGCACGTCTGTAACAGAGCAAGGAATTGTCCAAAACGATAGAGACTGATCATCGTAAGACTTTTAAAGTGTGCCTTTAAAACGATATCTTTGTCAAATTGAGCGATCGGTTCTACCAAAACAATCGACTATCTCAATTGTCCTTCTCTCTGTAAAATATATAGCAGTGCGTAAGGATTGTCTATTTATAATTAATGAGGTAACACGTGATTGTTTTTGTTAATATATGTCCTCCCTCTGATCTGACCATTTTGAAAATCTCTTTGAACTGTATCAAAAATGCAAATCCACCAGTTCTCCCCTTCCTGAACAATTTCTTTGTGGCACAGAATGGTCTCTACAAAAATTTCAAAATAAAAATAAAATAATTCTTAAATTACAAAATCAATTCTACAAGTTATATTAAAGTAACTTATCATCAGCAAACAAATGTATTCCCAATTCACCGACACAGATATATAATTAAGGAATGAAGCTAATTTCAACTTATGTTATCCGATATAACATAACTTGGGGCAGTTTACGCTTTATAAACCGCGAAGCGGTTTATAAGAAAGCTAAACTGTCCCAAGTTTTGTAATCGGAAAACATAAGTTGAAATTACCTTCATTCCGTATAATTTAGTTTCTGTGTAGACAATGAGACAATATTTCCTCCGGAAAAAGGCTTCAAATTGAGCATTATTTTAAAAGTAACGTCAAGCGGAGTAATAGGTTTTTGACGTAACTCATTGTGACGTAGGCAAGTTATGTTATACAAAATGTAATATGTTCCTCTGAATGATTCAGCCAATGAAATAGCTTGATACAAATGAAATTTAATTATTACGAGATAAAACTAATGTCATATATGTTATATGTGTGTTTTGTGAAATCCTATGATGTAATTTGCAAGACACTGTTGGAAGATATGCTTCATGATAAAATTATGAAAAGCATTTTTTTTTTATTTTGACAATTGAATTGAATTTGCAAGACTTTTACACTATTGGAAGATATGCTTGATGTTAAAATCATTAAAAGCAATTTTTTTTATTTTTGTCAATTGAATTTGGAATATTCAAATAGTATTATTGCCAAAAATTAAGAAGATTCTGACATAAATATATTACTTTTGGACAAAAAAAATTACAGACAAGTAGATAGGCAGAAAAACAGACTTTGTGATTCCAGGATATCCCAAACTTTGTTGGGAAGAATATAACAAAGTCTGTTAAACAGTGTGTAGTTACCTTAACTTTGAAACATGCCTAGGATCTTTGGATTTTTTCTTATGAGAGGCTGACTGTATATTGAACCTGTAAAACCAAAATTAACACAGTAGATATTTTCTTAGCATAACTAAAACTTAAACTACAAAAAAGAAAGAGTATACAAGCTTGTAGGTTCTCAATAGTCTTAAATATCATACATTTAACCTGAAACTAGGTTCTCTACTAGAATAGGATTTTTTTTTATAAATGTCAGTCAATGAATACATAGATGTAAATACTAGTATTCAATGGATTAGCTATCTGACGTACTTTCAACACATACAGATGCATATGTATTTGTACCTTGAAAGTTGCCACTGATATTATTATACCCCCTGAAGTTTTGTATAGTTTCGTAGCTTTTAAAGCCAGCATATTCTATTCATACTTACCATATTTTAAAAGTGCATTGGATTAAAATTGTTTCATAATGTAAAATACAACTTCTATATTATTGAGTTGAATTTATTTTTGATGAAGCCATGCAAGCAATGTAGAATTATAAAGGAACAAAAAGAATTTTTCAAGAAATATTTTGTCATAAAGGAGTCATTACAGATGTACACTTTGATTTTTTATTGCAAGTAAATGCAATCGTCTGTCACAATCAGCTTTTGGATCAATCGCCAGTCTTATCAGCTTTGGGCTTCTTGGACTTAATAATAAAAAAAGCAGCACGGTGGCACTGAACTCAAGTTGTTGAATGCATCTATTGGCCATAAAAACAAACATTTGTCGTTAAGTTGATGAAAGAATCGACTTGATAGCTATCTCAACATACAAAAACGCCAAACTGCTATACAGGGTTTCTACTTTCACTTTCAAATCAGTAAGTAACAAAAGTCAAAACAAAAAGAAAACATGTCTAACATGTAAATTGTAATGTTAGCATCCATTTAGAAACAAATTTATCCAAAATTACTTACAGTTCACTAACGTTATGTAGGTTTACGAAATGCATTAATTTAACAATTACAAGTGTTGAGAGTATTACAGAGATGAGTTCATACGAACCTGTAACCGCAATGAAACGATATTTAAACAATATAAATTAAAGGTCTTTAAAAAATTGTTAGGAGATTACTTACTTTTTCTGCTTTTTCCAACTTCTGCTGCAGCAGTGACGTACACTTTCATCCGATAGAAGTCAAAACCGGTCCGGGAAAAATAGGGATTTTTTTTTATTTTACTCAAATAATAAACCCAAACCCGAAAGATTTGAAATGAAAAGCAAATTAATTTATTATTTGTCAATTTTGTCTGGGATATGCATTATTACAGAAAAAGAAAATTGTGCAAGTTTTTTTAATAAGGGAAAGCGGGGATGTTAAACAGAATACAACTTAACATTAGTTATTGCTAACATATTCTTTTGAAATTGATGTACATTGAAATTACTATTGAGATATATTATTGAAATTGCAAGTTTTCTGAGTATTCCAAGGGCAAATTAGTGAATACTGTTTCATATGATTCTCATATGATCACCGTGTCTTATGATTCTCATATGATCACTGTCAAAATATTCATATGATTTTTACATGAGTATAACAAGGGCAAATTAGTGAATATGGTTTCATATGATTCTCATATATTCAGTTTCACATGATTCTCATATGACCACTGCCAAAATGTACATATGATTCTCATATGTATACCTTTCATATGAGAATCATATGTATATTACTTCATATGATTAACACATGCATGATCATATGATTCTCATATGATTGGCCACATATGATTCTCATATGATTGTATAAACATATGATTCTCATATGATACACATATGATCGTCATATGAAAGGCAATACATATGTGGATCATATGTGGCTAAATTGCCTATGTAGCTGTTACAGAAAAGCAACCAAAAAATGTATTCATATGCCGTTCATATACAATTAATCTTGTCATAGAGGTCACCTCGATCCTGCAGTCACCTGTCCTACGTGGGCATTTTATTTCCTTTCAATAAATTTTCCTAGATAATGAAAAACTATCAAGCAGTAATCTGCGTAACGCGCTAAGCAGTCATCACCTTTCATGTAAAATCGCCGCTTTACCTCGCATATAGCGGTCATGATGTCTAATCATGTGACCAGACTCAGGTGACTCCCAATTTTTGTCACCAATGTAAATGATTGGTCTAGTGTGGAGAGATCATGGAAAAGATAATTGGGTTATTTGAAATATTGGATAATTTTCTTATTTTTTTCAATGTTTAGTTTTTTAGTCGCCAGCGTGTCACAATGGTTAAAGTGTCTGCTCTAGAGTCGCAAAGTAAGGACTGTGGGACCGGTTTTTCGAATATGAGCATATAAACCAAGGTCCAATGTCGCAGTAGTTGCCTGCATGATAAAGATCCCTCATTGTTTAATAGCCATAAGGGGCTAAAATAGGACAAAATTTGCAGCTCTCCGCCATCGATTGCGTGTCTATAAGAGTATAAAATTGTCGAGAGGGACGTTAAACAACAAACAAGCAAACAATCACACTTAATTTTCAAACAAAACTCAAATTACGGCGC